TTCCTCCTGTATTAATGTAGCGCGCATCTTCTTGGAAGAGTGTTCTGCTGGGCACAAAAATACATCTCTTGTGGCTGCTGATGGGATCAAATCTTCTGCTTCAAAGTATCAGCATGTTAATCTTTTAGTGACATCTGGATCATTGATCCCCAGTCTTGTAAAATGCTTGCTCTTTCGACTCGACAACATGATAACAGATGAAAATGGTTAGTAACCCTTATCACTTTAATGTTTGCGAAGCTTGTTATTTTTCTTTGTAGATTATTTTGTCTTTAACGACACTGTAGTTAGTGTTAAGAATCAGAATTAATGTCCCCTAATGCAGTTTAAAATAGTACATATGCAAGAAGTGGAGTCCTGATGCGTCACATAGTTTTATTTTATTCTATTTGTTTCATGGATTCTGGTGATCGACATATAGACCTTGTTTTATGCATTAGTGGGGCTCTTAACATGGGTACTGTCAAATCTTCATAATTTCTTCAGTCTATAGTTCCTGGGAAGTGGGAAAACTACAATGTTTTCAGCAGATCAAGGTGCGTTTTAACCACCCAAATGTCCGCTTCTGCGTAATTGGGGATGGATGGGAGGAGTGTGAAGCAGCGCAAGCAATGCGATGGCCATTGGTTAAGATTGATATGCGACCAGGAGGCTCTCACAGGTTTCCAGGCCTCACATCCAGGACCCTCGGATTTTATTTTTCTGTTGTATATGGGAGCTCTGATGCTGAAGATGAAGAAGAGTGAAACTCACTGGATTTTGGGACATCTGCCTGTACATAAAATCCAACAAACGTTAGGAATTATGTCTTGAAACAATTTGTATCAATCAACTCAGTTAGATGAAGATGACCACCTGATTAGCCAAAATTGATTGTATTTGTTCTTGTAGATTAATTGGTTGGCTTCATGCTAGGAATTGTAAACTTCTGTCTCGACGTGGATATTAATCTACAGAGTTTTGGATTTGTTACCCTCAAAGTGATGCGAGATATCAACTGAACTGACAAGAAATAATCTTGTTTGTTAGGGAGGATTAGAGTTAGACTAGACTAGACTAGTACTGTTCTTGGGACATCTGCCTGTACATAAAATCCAACCAACGTTAGGAATTATGTCTTGAAACAATTTGTATCAATCAGCTCAGTTAGATGAAGATGACCACCTGATTAGCCAAAATTGATTGTATTTGTTCTTGTAGATTAATTGGTTGGCTTCATGCTAGGAATTGTAAACTTCTGTCTCGACGTGGATATTAATCTACAGAGTTTTGGATTTGTTACCCTCAAAAGTGATGCGAGATATCAACTGAACTGACAAGAAATAATCTTGTTTGTTAGGGAGGATTAGAGTTAGACTAGACTAGACAAGTAAAATGGCTATATTTCATGTGCAAGGGATAATATGGATATTGCCCTCTAACTTGGAGGATGGAGGACTATTCATAATAGGTTGATGACTAAAATTTATCCCTCCTAATCCCATCATTTTCAAGTTTTAGTTATCAACCTCTTATAGATAGTCCCTATTTTTCCTCCAAATTAAATAACATACATATTCTGAATCGAATGCAAATAAAATATAGGCATTTTGCTAATCTAGTTCAGTTTAGTCTAGTCCTCCCCTATCAAACAAACCGTAGAAGAAAGAAAAGTGCTTATTGTATTACTATGGCAGGATATCAATTTAATTCCCCATTCTTCATTATACATTGCCAAAAGAAACACATAGACGAAGGTATATGATGACAATTTCCCTCTTATTGATGCGTCTTTAACTTTAATTGAAAAAAAAAAAAAATTGTCCTGAAATTATTAACAGATATTAAGCATGTTAACCCAAAAATATTACATCTTATTCGGCAACAGGCCCCAAAGGGGCGCAGACTATTGCTCCAGCATTTCTTGCGTTGCGCGCTTCTATTTTGTTTTTTACCCCTCGACATCAAAACGACGTCATTCTACTAATGGTATTTTTTTGTTTTTTTAAAAAGGGAGATTCACTAATCTACCCAATATAAGAGCCCAAATTATAAAAATACCCTATATGAAATGGACTTTAGAAACACACCCAAAATTCATTTATAACATAACAAAAAGGCTTTTAACTTCTTTTAAATTACAAATCTGCCATTGATTTCTCAAAACAAACCCAACTCCAAAACATATAAACAAGCCCAAAATACTCAATAGGACATCAGAGTAATTTAATAATCAAAATTAAATTCAATATGGCCAATTGTCATTTTTTGGGTTTTTTTTGGGTTTGTTTATAGAAATTGAATGGTGTAGAGTTTATTTATAGTTTATTTATAGTTTTAGCCCAAATTATAAAAATACCTGGACAAAACGACGTCGTTTTGGCTCAAGTTTTATGGGAAGAAAAAAAAAAGGGCGCAGACTCTGTTTAAACAGACAACAGACAGCCCGATACCTCCCCTCCCCCAAATCAGTTTTAGCTCATTTTTTTTCCAAATGTCAAACCCTAAATCCCCAAACCACCAGTGGACTTATGATGCATTCTTGAGCTTCAGGGGCACAGATACACGCAAGGGATTTAGTGATCACCTCTACAGGGCTTTGGAGGTGGCAGGGATCCACACTTTTAGAGATGATGACGAAATCGAGAGAGGAGCAAATATTTCAGCAGAGCTTCAAAAAGCAATACAAGAGTCTCGAGTATCCATCATTGTCTTCTCCAAGGATTACGCTTCCTCGAGATGGTGCCTGGATGAACTAGTGACGATCATGGATCGTAGAGAAACTAATGAGCACATGGTTATGCCGATTTTCTATGATGTGGATCCATCCCATGTCAGGAACCAGACAGGAATTTTTGAAGAAGCATTTGCCAGACACCAACAGCGCTTCAACAAGGAGATGGACAAGGTGGAGAAGTGGAGAAAAGCTCTCAGAGATGTTGCAGATTTGGGAGGGATGGTTTTAGGAGATCGGTACTTTTTCATTCCCAAATGATGCTTTTTAAAGTAGATTATAGTGAATCTTTTTCTTTAATCTCATGGAGTTGTTAGATGGCAGCACTTGTGTTTTGAAAGTTCATTTACAATATCATTCATTTCAACCTATGATATAAATATCAATTCTCTTCTATAAAATAAAAATAAAAATAATAAAGAAATAAGTTT